TACCGTAAATTACCACGGTAAAATTGTAATTTACCGAGTGTCACAACCCTACAGATAACTGTCAGTATTAATAATAAATAATTGTAATTATTTTAAATTTCTTTGTTTTGTTTACGAATCTTTTATATAAACCTAAATTTATATAAAGTTTACAAATTACTTGTAAATTATTTGTAAATTACCTTTACAAATATTTAAATATTGCCAAAATATTGCCAAAATATTGCCAAAATATTGCTAAAATATTGCCAAAATATTGCAATATTATTGGTATTGTATTGTTAGTATTGCAATATTATTGGTATTGTATTGTTAGTATTGCAATATTATTGGTATTGGTATTGTATTGTATTGCAATACCAATGCCAATATTCTGTATAGGTAATATTGTATTGCAATACCAATGCCAATATTCTGTATAGGTAATATTGTATTGCAATACCAATGCCAATATTCTGTATAGGTAATATTGTATTGCAATAACAATACTTGATTTTCAACCACTATTATAAACTTAAGATTAGATATAAAGACATCCAAATATAATAATATATTTTCAAATGTAATATATTGATTACAATTTTTCATAATAATTACAGTTTCATATTAATGATCATTACGGGTGCAAAAGTAGGGACCGGTGCCTCCTATGAAAGTCATTACTACGATATCGATTGCGGTGATTATGAGGGTTGTCGTAAGTCTGGCATACATTTCAAATATAAATGCATTATATTTTATTAGTTTATGTAACAATTATGACATAAAAACATTGTAATTCCCAAAACTATACGCCGTTAGAGACGCCGAGACTGAGAGACTGCGGGAACGTATAATTTATAACTTCATTGCCATAGCAAACACTCACTTATTATTCGATGAGCTTTACTTAGAAAAACTATAACATGAGCCCCATGGCTATAACAAATAAATGCCCAGATGCTATTTAGTTGTCGCGAAATCATTAGATCGTGGTATTTCTCGTCAAATGATCACATATAATTCATATTTAATTAAAAATGTATGGGTTGTAATTTTGCAATTATAATTTAAATTATTGGCTATTTTGAACTATAATACAGTAATTTTTGATTTTATTTAAACTATTGATTTAATAATATTTTGTTATTATATAATTTATTAAAATAGCCATTCGTGACAAACCTTATTAAACTAAGTTTTAAGTTATAAAATATAAAATCATTTATAAATATATTTAATTTTAAAAATGGATGATATATTGAGATATAAATAAAAATAAGCGACGATGCTTGTTTTAACAAAATAAATGTACAGAAAATAAATATACTAATATCATGCTAATGGATTGGTTATATTATTTATATAAATTATATAATGATATTATTGTGTGATCAAAATATTTATATATTTCTAAATAAAATATATATAAAAATATATTAGATAAATTTATGAGTTTTTAAAATTTAGAGGCAAAAATCACATTAAATTTAATATTTAAATAACGTTAAATGCAAAATATTTATTTCCAAAATATTAGTATTTAATAACAGCAATGAAGATAATAAATATCCCAAAAATGAATTCTTTAATACAAAAAATGTTTAAATTGAAAACCAGTGCCAGAGATGTAGTAAACAATTATAAGCCAAACAACGGGTCTTTGAGTCGAGAGATTGCAATGTTTGACAAATACGTGAAACATCTTTGTGTCACTCTATCGTCAACACTAGACGACGTTATGGCCGGCGATTACACTCGGCGTAGACTTATATGGTTTATAACAGTAAAAATGAGCATGATCATATTTATGATCATTGGTATAACCGCCATATACGGTGACCATCCGTTAATAGACGACATGATGAGTTACGTTGGTGATAAAACACTGATCGGTACCCATAGTAACATCATGCTATTATCTATAATTTGCATAAATATGTGTCGTGTATATCACGAATGGGCCGGTAGTTTATATCAATATAAATTCATGCACTCATTGCTATACAATAGCATAGGATATCCGTTGAGTGCGCGCCGGGAGTCGCGGATCAGTGTTAGGGTTAGTCTAATGCGACCGTTGGTGGCCATCAGTTTCGCCCTAATGTTGGCCATATTCTACCCGTTTTGCATATATCTGCTGGTTATGCAAACAATATGTCACGTGACAGTAATAATGATCACAAATGTTACAATAGTGTCCGTATTGTTTGCTATTACGGCGGCCGAGTTTTTCGGTACAATTTGGTGCGAATGTGTTGTGCTATACATAACAATATCTTATGTAAACCAAAAGTTTGCCGACATTTACCGCACAATCGCAATTAGGTTTAATACCGGGAGTCGACTGTTGTTGCGGACAATTCATGAACACCAGTACTACGAACAATGGGTTCGCCATTTGAATATAACAAATAGATTGATCATGTTTATTATTTATTATGCGGTGGCGACGGCCGCAACAATGTTTGTCTATTCGCTAAATCATGTAAAATCCACCATGCTCTATAAACTCGTATTGTTGTACGTGATTGTAATACCTTTATGTTTAATGGTGTTTATATTTGTAATGCTGTCGTCAATCCCGAGAGCGGCCCATAAACCATATCCATTGCTGATGTCATACCTGTGCCGCCGGTCGACAGCCCTCTCACCCGTCCACCGGTTAAAAGTGATGGCATTTGCGGAGCGATTGGCGTCCGAACGGAAGATCGCTATCTATTGTTATGACTTGTTTCCCATCGATTCACTCGAGTTCTCGCAATTCGTATACATTTGTTGCTCTAATTATATGCTTTTGTCGTCATTTTTCTAATGCATTAAGTAATTATAGAAAGGGTTGTAATTATTGGGGAGAGGGGTTATACCAAAAGCTCTCCTAGCACATTAATTCCTAGCGCATTTGTAGTACTAAATTTAATAAAACAAATTGGTTGCAGTTTAATATTAATAAACTGCTTGTCCAATAGTAATTTTTGGTATCTTACATTAGAGCAATAATATAGAGTAGTTTAAAACTTAAAGTTTACATTCACATATACCTTGTTGATTTTGTTATTATATCAAGATGGTATTATGTATAATATAAACATGATTTGAAATTAACATCTATTAAGTAATGATTTCCAATAATTGATTAGTTATAATTGATTTACAGCAAATCTGTATATTTAAACTTAATATTGACTTATATTATACAGTGGGTACAAATACATTTTAAGTACAAATTGTGAACACTTTATAAATTGCACTTAATGTTTATAAGTAAATATACAATACTGACTGTGAGTACGTTTAGATTCTAGGTAAGCAGATCCACCATCTTTCTTACCTTAGAGTCACTGTTAGGACTTGTGGTTTGGTTTTTGACAATATTAATACTATTTGTCGTAATTTTGACAAATTAATATTTATTGTCATAATTTAGACAAATTTAATAACTTTGTCGTGTTTTAGACATAACTCTACACTAATTGCAGACATACTATATGTGCGAACCTTTGCGTGCTTTGTATAACCTCTACTGCACTGTCAAAGTCATGCCATCACTGTTTGCTATGCTTTGCGCGCAAATGCATTTAATAGTAAAGCATTGATTAACGACTCGTTATAACAAAGTAATTTTGTTTTAAATAAAACAAAAATTGAAGTCTTAATTAATTGTGTTTTTTGAGCCAACTTAGCGTAATTATAATTAACACTAATTAATAAATGTATGGTTAAAGTAACGGTAAGTTTTGTAATTAAATTAAATTTAAAATTTACAAAATTAATTAATTTATATATAGTTTCTCCCAATTATATAAATGCATTTATTGAATGCACCGATTGTTTGAAATAATCAACGATTTACACAATTTAAATATTTTTAATTAAAACTAAATTTATTTTAATTTTTATAATCATATTGTAATCACATTTGTTTGATTCACTTGTATTTCGTAAGTTATTAAATTTGTCTAAAATATGACAATTAGTATTAATTTGTCAAAATTACGACAAATAGTATTAATACTGTCGAAAAACAAACCACAAGTCCTAACAGTGTATCTAAGGTAAGAAAGATGGTGGATCTGCTTACCTAGAGTTTAGATTATTATATTACAAAGTAATGTACTGGCTATACACACTCTGTATTGCTTATACTGAATTAAAGTACATAATTATTATCATAATCAAGATAATCTTTTAATATTTATCCCCAATGTTAAACAGTATAAATAACCATGTTTGGTTGTTTAATTTCAATGTATAAATAAAATAACATATTAATTATTTTGTGACATATATTTTTAACGTTATTATTATATAAAAATTAAAATGTTTATTATATTGGGAAGAGCAGCAAATGTCACAAAATTGTGTGCATTAGTTGCAAAACCACGAGTATCACCATGTGGTAAATCAATTGCTACTCAAGTGCCTGTAACGAGCCCCGATCATCATATATTGACTGCAAACAAGCATGGTGTTTTGACCATAACGCTGAACAGACCTGAAGGCCGTAATGCACTCACGCCTAAAATGTACGAAAACTTTAGCAAAGCCTTACGATCGGCGGCAACCAATGATACGGTCACTATGGCTATGATTACAGGCACCGGAAAGTACTTTAGCACTGGAAATGATCTTGGTATGTATTTTATTCTAAAATATTAATGTTAATTATGATCAAATAGTGTTAATTATTATTAAGCAAGTATAATTAAATAATTTATTTGCTATAAATAAAAATATTTATTGTTTTTAATTAACCAAAAAATAATATTTTTAATACTTTTTGTTTCCGATACCATTGAAAAATATATTCGTGATGTTTGAATTATTTGAAATAATATTTAACATAAATTTACAGTTTATTCATAGTGAAATAATTTGTAGAAACAAACTATTTTTTATTATCACAAGTAGTTTACATGATTGGCGTACACTAACGAAGTAATCTTTATAATAATAAATGTTACTTTACATAGTTAATAATACAATTATAACTAAAACGTTAATGACTGATCCTGATCTAATTTATGTTCAGGTAATTGGCTGAACCCCCAACCTGGCACTAATAGTGATATGAGTGAAATATCAGAACTCATCAGTTCTTTAATAGACTTTCCAAAGCCATTGATCGGTGCTGTAAACGGCCCGGCAATAGGTATAGGAGTGACAGCAATTGCGCTCATGGATACAATGGTGGCCAGCGATGCGGCATATTTTCACACACCGTTCACATCGTTGGGTTTAACAGCCGAGGGGTGCAGTTCTTACACTCTACCTAAAATAATGGGCACATCTCTTGCCTCAGATATGTTGTTATTTGGCCGCAAACTGACGGCTGCGGAGGCCCTACAGAGCGGACTCGTGGCACGTGTTATACCCGGAGCCGAGTTTAGCTCATGGGTTGAGAAGTGGGTGTTTGACGGGACGACTGGTTTGATAAACA